TTGAATAATATTGGATTACCATTATTTCTGCATGAACACTTCTTTCTAATTAAAAAGATTTGAAAAATCAGTGGAACACCAATGATATTATATTTGTCCTCAAATTTTATAAACCATCAATAAATATTTTTGTAGTGTAATTCCCAAATTTTTTCTATCTGTGTGTGTGTATGCAATGTATACTAGCAAAGAGAAGAGCATTATGTGTGTATTTTACTAAATGTATAATCAATAAAACCGAAAATGTACTAAAATTTGTATAAAACTATAATAAGCAAAAAAAAAGATACTGTTGAACCTCAACTAAATGCCATACACATTTCTAAAACTATATATTTCCAGCATCTTAAAATGTAACCTAAGTGAATATTGTCAGAAATTATAGAAAATGTGAACTAACAATTTTCAGTATCAATCATTACAAGAACAACACCAGCACCCCAATTAATATGCACGCTTTCACTGACGTATGATTTCTTTTAATCTTCAAACTTATCATATAGAGGCAATTGTATGAAATATAACACATGTTCTGTAATAACATTTGACTCAATTGATAATGCCACATCCTACCCGATTCTTATAGTTGGTTTAATCAAGTGACAACGATGCACACCGGAGCATTCAAAACACTTTAGTTTTTATATATAGCATACTTATTGTAATGTGGACAATACCTATTCACAGGTCAGATGGGTAGATGATTGAATGATAATTACTTGAAAGAAAAGCTCTTTAATGTCGGAATTTGAAACACAGTGAGGATGAGCTTTCATCTGCTCCAAGGCCTGCTAATGTGTGATACTTAACCTCATTTTCATTACACAAATGTCATGGCTTCTAAAAATTTGCAGACTATAGTGAGCCAGTTGGAAAAAAAAAACATGAGAAAGTTGCCACTACTACTATGAGAAAAGAAACATTAATTGAAACACAAGTTCCTATTCTTTGACAATATGCAATATTGCAATACTGTCTTGCTACTTCACCAAGTTTTCATTGAAAATGTTCTCAAATGATAATCATTTCACCAAAGTTGATCTGAGTTGAATCATATTATGTAGGTTTATTGTCTTAAGACCTATAATACACAACATATTTATGAAAATTGTTTACTTATCAGTTTGAAAATTGTTTTGTGCTACTTGAACAAGTTAAATCGTTTTAGGTATAATTTTTCACAAATTTTCCAACACTATGGAAACCCATCATCAACTTTCTTAACCAAATTTTGTTAGCCAAGAGAGCATGTCTAAGGAAAGTCAGTGTGGAATACTTTTGTTTCTGTATGCAAGAATAAAGTATCCAAGAATAAAAAAAAAAAATTCAAACACTATTGAAAAATATTTTACATACTATCAAAGAACAGACTACATCATTCTACTGTCAGGTAATCAATAAATATCACTTTCACTTTACTTCAGTTTTACCTGAACAAAGCCCCATTAACTCTTTCAACCAGGGCTCCGTAGGAACGACCTCATAACCATTTTGTGCTTGTTACAGTTTTCATGCTATAACTTTTAAATCAGTAAGCGAACATTAACGAGATTTAGCAGTTTATCAGTAAACATTACAATGCTTTCATACATAAAATAACTAATTTTTTTATTAAGTTTTAAGGTTTGTAAAGCAATGTTTCTATCATGCCTTTTTTTATATCACATCTTGCCTATCTATCATGCAAAGTAATTGTCATCTTAACATTAAAAATACTTTTATGCATCATAATATTTCAAAATTTCACATGCAAAATCTCTATGATGTCCAAATAGTTAAACGTTTCTTAAAAAAGAACTTTATATTTTATCTGTTATTTTTAGTAATTAATCTCTGTACGGGTTCGGTAAATTTGACCGATCTCGTAACCACCATAAAAAATTAGGAAATAAACATAAATTATGCATCTTCCATTCTAGAATGAACACAAATTATAACACAAAAACATAAATGTTTAGATGAAATAGCTTAAATCTCATAACATTATACATTTATATATATATTTATTATTTTTATTATAATGACCTATCACCCGTACCTGGCTAACAATACAGAAGTTACAACGACAAGGCTCACGTGCACTCATTGTACCGTATTCAACAATATAAAACTGACCTTTAGTCTTCACAAAGTGACCTGTTTTGGCTGTGTTTTAATGGACTAGTATATTGTAAAATAGTCACATTTTAATCATTATACATTATATATGTATATAGATTATTGCTATTTTGAAATAAGTTCTTAAAGTTATTTTTCCTAAAATATAGAACAGTAAATAAAGAAGTAAAGCAAACAATTATCTCTTCTAGTTATGACTTTTGTACTCAGTTGCTACTTAATGTAGGTTGTTAAGCCTTTAAAAATTTTGCACGTGGATGACATTAAACAAAATATTTTTTTAGGTTTTATATTTGAATAACTAAAAAATCATAAATTACTACATCAGTACCATAGAATTCTACTATAATTTATCAAACGTAGTAACTAAGCTGTATTTGGGTCTAAAAAAATATGAAATTTCGAGCAGACTAAAGACACAATCTACCTCATTGAAATCTTGATTTACAAGAAAGAAATGATGCTAGATATGTTAGAAAGGCTTAGAAAACCACTAGGGGGACATTCTGACCTTCCAATTGGTTACTCATGTCATATATAGAAGTAAGTGTTTATAAGGGAGCATTTCCAAAAATGGAAGGAGGTGAATGGGGTGCCACTATATTTTATTTATTACGTGAGCAATATCTTAGCAAATACAGAAGATATGACCTCCTTATTTTATATTCTAGCTTGTCAATATCTGTAATTTGAGTTTCCAATTCACATGAAACTATAAACTTGGTATTTTGACTTCACAAACATCTAATTTGAACTGGTGCTGTATTCAAAATACCACGACACACAAAAATCGATGAATTTCTGCATATTTTTAATATTTACTTTTAATCTAACAAATTGAGTAATGTATAGTTCTAAAATTGGAATTATAATCTACAGTTTGATACCAAACTTATTGACATAAATTCATGAAATAGTAGTTCAATAAAATTTTGAATGCGATTCAACAAATGAGATGACATGGCCTTTCAACTCTGACCTGTATAGAAAGAGTTAAATAGACAAGTTAGCAATGATCTACAGATATATAGATCACCTGCTCAACTAAGGCTAGGTGAAACCATATTTTATACTACAAAAATTAATTACATGCAAATACAAGGAAAATATACATGTTATCTGCAGATGGCACTTCCCAAAAATTTTATAACTAGAGCTGGGTGATCAATAGAATTTGCTAATTGATTAATTGTTGGGCTAAAATAATCTATTATTCCAACTGTCCATGTCTCAAGTGAGAATAAATGGTAATAATTAGGAATAATAAACATTAATTTCAATTAGTTGATTAATTTCATGAGACATGACACTAACAGATTAAGCTGAACAACCTAGAATTAATTGAAAATAGCAAGAAGAAATCATAATTGGGTTATTTTGATTACTTGGATAGTTGGAATAACTGAAAAATCACTAATTTTGATTAGTTCATTGCCTTCTGGTTGTTAATTGATCTCATAATAATTTTGACTAATCATTATTTTAACTGATACTAACAGACGCAATATGCTTATAAGTAATCGATTAAATAGAGTTAATTACCTAGCTCTAGCTGTTAGATGGAAATTACAACCCTACAGTACCTGAGAGTGACTCCTTATAAATCTCCTATTTGAAGTGACTTTTTCATATGACATTATGAATGCTCTGATTCAAAAGGTGTTTTCTGTCCAGACATACAATCTACAGCTATTCTCCACTTCATTCAAAGTCCAGTATCCTTTACAAATTGAAGCCCACCAGTTTTGCTCTTACAACTCAGTACACAGCAATACCGGATATAATTTTTAGAGACTTAAATATTTCCATTGAACATTAATAAATTAAAACTTATGTAATATTAAACTCTTTAATTATAAACTACATTTGAATGCCAAGTTTTTTGACACACATTTATAATAAAGTTATCTAAATAAATTTCGAATATAACTCTGTAAAGACATCATGACATGCACAAAAAAGCAACAAAAAATAATAGATTACATTATATTAGTGGGGGATGTTAACGTATCACTATACTAAGCCCAACCAATATTATAAGTATAGCTCCCATCCTACTACCTACTACCAGCTTAGAACTATTGAAGTCCTACTTGTATTAGATGTACTTCCACAGGATCCCCAAAAGTGTTCTGTTTTAGGAGTAAATAAAACCAAAATTAAGAGTAACAAGTATTTTTATTTCTTGCTTTTGAAGTTCATATGTCATGCTGTGTTGTAGCCTACAGAGTGCATAATCCTTCTTGTGATTCACGGCATGTACATGTTTTACCAACATTATGACAGTACAAATTGCAACATGAAGTATCTCTTATGTGATATCACTTTAGTATCTACTGGTTGAATTACAAGACAACACACTATTGTAGTGATTGAAACAAGTGATCCCTCCAGGTCCCCTTTCAGGAAATAACACATTATCTTTATTAAGGCTGTATTTTTTTTTCAACTGGAATTTTTTACCTTATTTGTTTTTAAATGTTATAGCATATTCATAATTTCATTCAAACCTGTATGCTTCAAATAAAACTCAATCTATTCATTTCTTCATGAAATCTGATTAATTCAAAAGCAAAACTTTTTAAATTATATAACAAATTGTCAGAAAA